AAAGAACTATTTCAAAAAGATAGTCCTGTGTGGAAATGACACAGACCTTGTGAGTATAAGTGCAATATCTAGGACTAGAAACATACATACACTGGAAACATAATCTTCTTTCCAAAGCAGTTATATAGTCTACTGGGAAAATGAGTATCTTATCTCTCTGAAACCATTCTTTCATATAGCCAAAATAGTCACAGCAGTTTCTGGTTCAAAGACTTGTACTTCTGTACCTGAAAATCAGGGGCAGTGTTAACTACTGAAGTTAACAGTGTGAGGCAGTGGTTTGGTCTGGCTTGTAATGCAGGTGCTGCAGAAAAGGCAGTGAGTGACTACACTACTGCCATCTTTCAGGATGGCAAAAAAACCCCATCCTACAGCATATGCTGTAAGGAAGTGGCCATAACCTTGGATCAGCCACAGATATCCATTAGCCCTTTAGTTGACATACTGTCAGTAGAGAGGTGGTGTCAGAAAATGAAGCTGTTCTGGTGCTTGGTAGCTTTTTAAAGTGAAGCCGACTGCCCTGTTGAACTCATGCATTAAGCTAAATCACTTGTAGTGTTGGATCATGCATGGGTGAAGGGTGGAAGACCATCAGACCCTGTGACAGAAACCTGGGTCAGCTTTCCTGCTTTTGTTTTTTTCCCCCTTCTCTACCATTCCAGTGTACCTGTTATTTTGGAGCCACATTGCCTAGTGCAGCCTTTGTGCTGTTACACAGGGACCATGGCAGACTGGAGGACTGCAGATATCTGTATGCGCTGTGAGCAGTATCTGTTGAACATGGCTTCCAGTCAACAGCAGAGCATCCCTCTCAGGAGACTTTCCTGGCCTTCAACCAAACTGGACATTCTGGAAAAATAAAGTGTTTTTGTAAGTTCTTTGTGTTTAAAAAAAAAAGAGAGATATTTGATAGTACATCTGTTTCTCCCCAGGAACTGCCTGTATGAAAGCAGTGAAGATTTTCTGGTGGAGTTCTCCCTGGTGTGTTTTGCAGGGCCTGGATAGACAGTGTTGAAAGATACAATGGACTTGTCATGGTGACTTGAGTCATGGTGAAGAAAATAATGTCTGGGAAGGGACAGTTTTTCTAGATAGTGGAGAAGGGAAGAAGGACATGCTTAAGCTGAGCCCAAGGTTTGAATCCAAACTGCTAGAAGGGTCAAAATCTTCAGCTGACTTGTGCTGGCCTAACACTTCCTCTAAACTGCCTGTCTGCAAGCTGATGTCTCCTTGCAGGTTTGGGCAAGCTCTGCAAGTAAATGAATGTGGGGAAGCTGGAGCTTGTGCTTCCTTTTGGAGCAAGTTCAAGTGTTCTGCTTCCTTCAATCGAGGAGGGGTGCAGCCTGCCTTCCCAGGTCCTCTCCTGCATGTACTAATTGCTGGTGCTGCTGGGAGGCACATCCATATCAGGCAGGTGGGCTCCTTGCAGGCTGCAGGGAATGGCAACCCAGCCACAGCTGCACTTGTTGGCAAGATGGGTGCAGCATGGGGCTGGGGGCATGAGGTGATCTTGAATGCTTGTTGAGTGAGGTAGTTTAGGTAGACCAAGAGAGAAATGAGCTGAGATCAGCCTGTTTTGATGACTGTGCAAATCCAAATTGCCTCTCAGAGCCTGGGTGCAGCAGTAAGGAGAGAAGGTGTGTGTGGCACTGAGGTAGACTTCATTTCACCCGGAAAGCAAAGATGGTTCTAGGTTCTGTCTCTTGCATGTTGCTGTGGTGCCACATGGGCTCCTTTTACTGGCTTCCCCTTTTTCCTACCTTGTGACCATGAGTGGGTTGAGGAAATGTCCACACTGCAGAACAAACTGTCAAAGGGGCAGCCTGACCTTCCCTGCATGTCCCTGATGGTCTAGTGAGCTGTCAGGAAGACCCACGTTTGCATCACTCCTCTGTACTCTACTGGTTGCATTGGCCCCAAGTGGACTGGTAAAAACTCTGTCCCCTGTACAGGAGTGACATCTAGTCCTTCAACTCTGGCATGCAACTATTGCTTCTGACCATAGCAAGTCATGACAGCTTGTGGGGGCAATCTTACTAGAAATGTTGATCTGTTTAATCGCAGCCAAAAGAGCCTGTTCACCTCCTTTCTCTGCCCAAGGAGAGCCCTTCAGAGGGAGTGGAGACCAAGGCTTTAGTGGGAGGCATGGAGTGCAGGTTGGAGCAGGCACAGGCAGCCTGAAGCCAGGGTGCAGAATGGGAGGCTCCTGTGTGGAACAGATCTGGGACCAAGCCTTCAAGGCACCAAGAGCAGCATTTTCCAGGCATGTGGGTATGACTGCAAAACCTGTTTTGTTCAGAGTCTCTGAAAGGTGATGCTTTGGAGGAAAGCTTTCCCTTTGCAAGCACATGGCAGGATTTCATCTGTTTTCTAGTCTTTGCCTGTTCTTCTCATCATATAGACCAGAGCTTTCTCTGCTCAGAGTTCACCGATTCCAATTATTGGTTTTGTGTTGAGGTATAAGTTGCCTTTGGACATGGGGACCTTTTGTTATGCACCTGCCATGGCAGAAAGTGGTTTGTCTCCAGGCTCTGTTGGCTCTCTTCCTACAGCCCCTGGTACCTTAAAGCACAAGAGTCTTTAGTCCTATCCCAGTTGTGAATCATGACTGAAAAATGGGAAAGGAAGTCTAATTATGACTACAGGTAATGGCAGATGCCTGGACGAGCTTATTCCCATCTTGTTTCCTCCTTGGATCAGCTCTATGCTCACTTATCTCTGAATGCAGCCAGGGGCCGGCAGGACTGAGTCCTGGGACACCTTTTCTTTCACCACGGGGCCTCTGAGGAGGGAGCGGCTGACTATGGCGGCTCATCCCAGCCAGCCGCCCGGCTACGGAGGCGACGCCCCGCCCCCACACCTGCAGGCAGGGCTTGAGCACCCCCATGGGCTAACGGCTCCTGTTAGAAGCGACGGTCGGCCGCCTCGCCCCGCTGCTCCGGCAGGGGGCAGCC